TCTGGGAAGGGCGCCCCACCCGCAAGGCGAGGAGGACGGCCGGCCGGATCCTGCATGGGCTTCTGGCTGCATTTCAGTATCCTGCCTCCAGCAGTGGCCAGCCAGAAGCATGGGGGGGGGGTTCCTCCCCTTTTTGCATCCAGGACGCAGGAGGACAGAGTCTCTGCCTTCCTCAGTGTATCTGTTTAATCCACAATCGCTGAAGTTGATTTGCTAAATTTGAGCACTGATTAGGCAATGCAACAAGCAGCAAAAACAGCACCACTTCAGCCCCGGCTACCAGGAAGGCCTCTGGAACGTGGCTTTTACCCCAGATTTCTTTCCCTCTCTCTCTTATCTTCCCAATAGCCCTGTGAGGTAGGTTTGGCTGGCCTGGGAGTTTCATGACAGAGTTGTTTGTTTTTGGATTTAAAGAGCGCCACATAAATAACACATTATTCACTTCTTCTGAAAGCAACAGAACTTATCGACACTGAGGAAAGAAAGCCCAGGCTGGCTCCTGCATCCTTCATCCCAGAATGGGGTATTTATAAATACAGCAGTCCCTCGGTCTGCAAGGAAGAAAGGAGAACAAAAACAGCTGGGTAAGAGAAGAAAACCTCAAAAGTCTTTTGAGGTTTCTCGAGAAGCACAGAGAGATTGGCTTTCGCTAAGCCCCAACGGATGTTAAAGCACAGAAGCATCTCATAAAACATTATTTTGCCAGATCGGGCAGGGGAAGTCAGCTCTATTTATTATCTTATACTTTCTCGTCATGCCAAAGCAGCTTTCAACAGGTGTGTGTGCATGTGTGTGAGAGAGAAATCTTGTATTAGTGCTGAATAGAGGGCAGTGTCACACATCCAAGAATGTACGGGGTTGGTTTGCCCCCAAGATTGAGAGCATGAAACCAATTACTGTAAGTTGGCAAGGTGTAGCTCTTTTCATCAAAAGGAGAAGCATCAACAGCTCAGACCACAAATGCTGCCGTTATGATGCACTGGGAAACGAAGTTGGTTCTTTTGCTCTCTGATTTTTAATGAATGGCCAAGTGATCTCTGAAACACAGGGGCAAAACCGAGTTTTTGCCTGCAGCTACCCTTCTTCAGACCCTCCACCTCATGCCCCCATCAGCCAAGAGAATAGGAAGCTGCCTTAAATGTTCAGACAACATTACAGCCAACCTTCAAGGGTTGAGTGTGGGTTGACACAAAACCTGTGATCGTTGCAGAAATGTGGGTGATCCTGTCTCCTGAACCTGGTTGTGCTAACAAGCCATGACTGGTGAACCACAAACAGCCCATGAAGAAAACTCCTGGGTTATTGTTGGGTTGTGAACTGTGGGTTGTTCACCATGGTTTGTTACCTTGACTGGGTTCAGACAACACTGACAACCCATGGTTCAAGAACAACTCACACTATACCTATACTTGCCCCCGAGTGTGCCTTACTGCATAGTCTAAATACAGCTGCTGAGTCATACTGTGGGTCCATCTAACCCAGTACTGTTGACACGGACTGGCAGCAGCTCTCCAGGATTCCAGGGAGCGTTCCTTCCTAGCCTGAGCTGGAGATACTGGGGTTTGATGGTGGGAAGCTCCACATGAAAAGCCGGGGTTTTACCGCTGAGCTACAGAAAAAGGGGCTTATACACGAGCTGTCTTTGTCCATCTAGTCCACCACTGCCTGATCTGCTGGCAGCAGCTCTTGGGCAAAGAAGGTCTCTTCCTATCTCTTGTTGCCCACTGGATTTGAAATTGCCAAGCACTGAACTAATTCTCTGTGTGCAGAGCAAGGACACACAGCTGCAGCACAGCTTCTTCATTTTGCAGGCAGGCAAGAGGCCAGCCCTTACTAGGATCCGGATGCAATTTCTAGCTGCGCGCTCCATTCTGGCTAGGGCTGAAGCCGGGGCAGGAGCACCGCAAGCCACCACAGGGCCTGCACATCAGATACACTCACCAAAGGATGCAGAGCCGCCACCAAGAGCAAACAGCCACAAGCTTTTTATTCCGGGATCGGCCACCACCAGAGCTCTCCCAATAACGTGGGCGCATGGCAAGAGCAGCGGCGGGGGATCTCCGCACGCCCATTTCGGCCCTGTTATCGGATGCTGTTTCACACACTGAGAGACTGTGGCCCAGGAGTCTGGCATCCATAGCAGTGCCTTCCCAAACCCTCGCAAGCCTGTTCCTGGGAACCTCCTGCGCTCAGCCAGGAATGCTTCCTCGCAGACTCCGATCCCCCTGCTACCACTTGCATCCACTTTTCCAAAGTACCCAGGAACACCATGTCTGCTTGTTTGGTTTACCTGCCCCACCTTACCACCTCTTGCAAAGAACCCAGCACAACAACCCTGTGAGGTAGGGCAGGCTGAGTGGGCCTGAAGTCGCCCAGTGAACTTCGGGGTGAGTGGGATCTCCCCACAGCTCTGTAACTACTGTGCCACAGTAGTTCCAGTTCTCCAAGGCTGGCACTCTGGGTTGCTGAGGATGAAACAACACGGAGTGGGAACCCGTGGTTTATTGCTGGGTTAAAACGCTTGGTTGTTTAAATGCCAACAACCCAGAGTTTGGATGTCACAACTAAAAAATCAGGAACAGAACATTCCTGGGTTGTCTTGAAAAGCGGATTCACTGCAGGTGGGGGCTGCACGGGCTCAATGTGCTTTGCCCAACGGGATGTCGTTCCATATGGACCGCCACTTTAGCACCACGGCAGAAGATGCTCCACTGGGAAAAATTTCCCAGCTGATAAAACGACCGGGGGAGAGGCGCTTCTGTTTTCTAGTCATTCTGGAAATTCACAGCGGAAATGGCTGCAAAGTGGGGCTTGAGAGAAAAAGAAACAGAGCGAGTCAGAAGGGACCTCCTGGGCCATCTAGTCTGACCCCCGGCTCCAGCCAGTTCCAGTCATGACATGCTGGAAGGCTACACTCAAACCAAAGCCATCTCCACGCAGAGGACGCATTTTTTAAAGGCCTCTAAAACTAATCCCGTAACAACACTGTGGTGGCTAAAGGAGAACAAAGGGGATAAAGGCAATTTCAGGTATTGATACCTTTCACTCTACCCAATCTGTGAGCAGATTTGCCGAACAACACGGAGCAGTTTATCTAACACAACAGAAGTTATTTCTAATATGAAAAGCGGATACACATGTCATGAGGCCACGAAACGTAAGCTCCCAAAAACGGGGCTATAACCCACTGATGAATTCCCAGGCAAGATAAAAAGAGGAAAAGATGGAGACCAGCCCTGCAGTTTTCACGACTCTTGAGATAAAATTTGGGAGGTGTCACCCAGACTGAATTGAAAGTGCTGGAGTTAATACGTTCACAGTGCAAACGGTCATGCTTCTCTGTCACTGAAGCCTTGGACACAATCTCAGAGTTTTATTTCGGCACCAACCAGAACACAGGCGACTTATGCAATGTTACCAGAATGTAACACTCGGTAATTTTTCTTTTTGTGCAAGTAGTTACATGGTAAGGATGAATTTTGCTTCCCATTCCATGTGCAGACTTGGGCCTTTAATCTGGTCTGAAACATCCTGTACCAGCTTTTATTTCATGTTTAACTTTCAACCTGAGGAAGGGTTCTGTAGAAATCGGAAGCTTGCTTGCTTCTTTTTAAATCTTTTAGCCGCTCCTAATGCAGAGATCACAAACACCATCACTTACGGTGATTTCCCCCCAGTTTTGGAAAGGACATCCGCCAGTTGGTTGGCAAATAAAATCAATCAATCAATCAATCAATCAATATTATTTTTTCTGTTAAGCATGAAGGGTCTCTCACCTTTCTGAACAATGACTCACATCTCCTTAGACAGTGAAAGACTAGAGAAACCTACTTTCCTGTATTGTGTTATTCAGAAAAAATACATAGCCACAAAAATAGTCATTTCCTGGTTGCCTCTGGCAAGTAACAGGTTTTCCTTCAGAGAAACTAGGGTGGGGTGGGAGTTAATGCAAGCTAGGTGCTTTTCCTTTCTTTAAGATGATTAATATGTCATCTTTAAATAGCAGGGCCATGAGAACTAGTAACTTGTGGACTTACTTGCAAGATTGCAAACAGAAAGGAAACTGAGATGATTATATCTCCAGTTGTACCACTGAGATATTTCTTTGACAGTAACTTAAAAACAGCCTTGACAAAAACATTACCAGATCTCTCGAATGGACCACTGATAAAGAGCAGCAGTAAAAACCCTACTGTAGAAGTACATTGTTAAAATCTTAGTTGAGCAATGGGTTAACATGGGTAAATAAGTTAGACCAAAGTCGGGTTCAGACAATACAACTAGCCATGGTGTTATTCTCCTGTGTTATTTGAACGCAGACAGTTCACCATGGTAAGTTTGGAAACGGTTTATTCTGTGATCTCTGCCTACCACCACAGTGGCTCATGGTTTCCACAGTCCTGAAATGCAACTACCATAGAGTCCTCTGGAAAGAGTGGCAACTGTAGGAGCCACTCCGGCCATCCAACCGCTGTGTGTGGACCACTGAGAAAGAGGCAGGCAATACAGGCAGGTAGTGATGCACCTTGGGATTGAACTTCAGGTGTTGTGGCTGATGGGATAAATGCCAACAGTGGGAGGAGCATCCGGCACGATGGAAACCATGATAAAGTGACTATCATGTAACCATGATTTATGATGGAGCATATTAATTGTGACAGCACACAGCAAAGAAGATGCAATTTCCCAGGAACAGGAGCAAGTTATGGTGTCCCTGAGAAGTCCCCTGTGTCCCAGGAGTTCCACCTTTTACCAAAAATGAGTACCAAGAGGCAGAGAAAGTCCTGAGATTTGATCTCTGTCCCATTTCATGAGCCTGAACCATAAGAGGGACAGGCCTTCTGCAAGTTCCACATATTAAATGCATGGAAGAACAATCAATTTTGGGATGCACTGGCTCTTTGGAAAGTGGAAGAAGCCATGCTTGCATTGAAGGAGAAGCCATGCTTGCACTGAGGGACAAGTCATGAAGGCGACTGCTGGAGAACCAAGTCCCTTACCTGATGGTGCCAGTGGGGGAAGGCAGGGGGCTGCCCAAGATCCGGAGATCCGGCTCCGGAATGTGGATCTTGAGAGGCGATATTTGAGGGTAGAGTGGCCGAAGTGGAGGTGATGAGGCTTCCTCCTTCATCTCCTCTTTATGGTAGAGCGACGTGAACTGGATTTTGATGACTGTGCTGGGGAATCGGAATGTGCACCTGAAAACCAGAAAGGAAGAGAAGCATTCAGTGCTCCAGAAGACCACGCAAGTTTTCAAGGCCTGTGTCCCCCATTAAGTGTGTGGAGGACGACACCAATATGGCGTAACAGAATGGGAAAGGTTATGGGTTTGAGGCCAACGAGAAGGGGTCAAAATGCCAAGCAGAGCCTGTTGAACTGCACACAACCGGACCCTCCCCCCCAAATGCTCTGCTTCCACGCAGCAAAGACTTATCCTCCCACCCTCCCCACCAGAATCCTCCTTCCCGGCGTTGCTTGCAATGGTAGATGCACCTGCTTTGCACGTTGCCACCCAGAAATGCATCTGAGAAGATGTATCCCTCGTACGTCACGGCTGTAACAGCCACTCGGGACACTACCTGTGGTCCCGTCAGTGAGGCTGACCTCCGCTTTCCCCGTGGAGGCTGGAGACAGCATCCTTCCTTCTCCAGCCAGAAGACGGGGAAGCTTTTTCCTGTTGAGGCTCGCACTGCCCCATAGATGCACCCCTGGGACGGGGGGCCACCCTGGCAGAGAGCCAGGCCAACGTTCCTCCCTGCCCAGTGGGCTGTCCCGGGATGGACACCTCTCGCCTGCCAGAGGTAAGATTGGATTTCTTGCAGAGGGCCTTCAAAAGAGGGGGCAGGTGGCCCAGCTCTGCTTTCCAGCAAGGAACTGGGGGTATGCCCCTCTGGCAGTGTGGTGGAGCAATTATAAAGGGACCACTGTCCTTTGACCTTAATACAGAGCTAATATTCCAGAGAACCACCCTGCTTCCCAATTTATTTTGAGGACGCTTCTCTAGAAGCCCCCACAAGTGTGGTATGCGTTGGCCACGTTCCCAAATGGCTTCAGTTGGAAAACAGGCCCACTCAGACACGTTCAGCATTTCTGAACTCCAGGCAAGCGGTTCTTAGCGCCACTGGCTTGCCCGGAAGACGGGGCTCCAAGATCCCCCCTTGCAAAACCAGCAAGCCCCAGAGAAGCAGCTGCATTAGCACAGGGTCTCCTGCGAGCTTCTGATGAATTGGCATGTTTTTGAGCTTTTATACATGCCATGGGCTCCCTCCTGGAAAGCTTTCTAATTGATCCTGAACTTTGCAGAGTAAATTTCTGAACCAGGCCTTTTTTGTGTGCTCATTTGTGTGGGATTTTCTCACAATATTATAAACAAGGATGGGGCTATTTTCCCAAATATGGGGGAAAACCCTCTACCTGCCTTTCTGTCTGAGAAGGTACTGAAGAAACGTCTTGGCGTTTTAAGGCATTTTACAGAAGCAAAATAAGCTTTCAGCCGGTACTTCTGGAGTAATCTATCAGTGAATCATGAGATCGAGGTGCCCTGCAAAATGCACATTGCCTATCTATCCCCCCCCCCCCCCCCCCCGACGCCCCTATGCTATTCTGTTCAAGGAAATGCCCAAACCTACTCCATTTTGTCTGACATCTTCTCCATCGGCAGTTAGGTCCTGTTGTAACTGGCAGTACAGATATCAAACATGCTGTAAGTACAGACAGTTATGATGGACATTATATCATACAAGTCAATTTTCTGCTGGTGCTTCTTTCTTGCCCGGGCTGTGAACAGCATTTTGCCAAGGTTATTCCTGTCCCTCTACATCTTTCCAATGGCAATCTTCGTTTTTTAAGTAAGATTGCTAATCCAGCTTTGAGAAAACTATGTGAGGAAATAGCAGGGAGAACAATTTATTGCAGAGAGAAATGGCAAAAGCAGAACTCCCATTTTTGGGGTCCATAATGGTTTCTGTTAGGCATCCTCCATTAAAGATCCTGATGGTTAAATGCTGTGCTTCTCCAGTAACAATATTCAGGGAGATAATATTAAGATTTTGTAGATGCCTTGGCTTCTCAGCTCCAAAATAGAGAATGTAATGCTCTCAAGTAATGAGGGATACCAATTTAGGGGTGGATTAACTGGTTTCTAGTCCGTTTTAGCACTGTGCATGCTAGATCCAGAGTATATTTTGCCCCATTTCTAGTTACACTGAAGTTGGCATTTCCCTATACTCTTACTAAATGGCGTCCCAAGGTTGCCTTTAGTACTCATGTTTTGTTTATAGGTAATGGCTACTCTGGAAGACTAGAAAACCAATGCAGCAACCAACGCATGTGTGGGGCTGCATGAACTGCAAAAGTGATATAATGTAATAACAGGTTGTCATATGGAAGATGAAATGGTTGTCCTGGGGTGATAATGCCCAGAGCCACCCTGTGACAATAATCCAGCTCACACAAACTGCTGAGCAATTGCCCAGTTACTTTGTGATGCGCAAGCCTGAAAATGCTGGGTTGTTTATGAGTTAAAATACCCAGAGTTACAACAAACTGGGGGTGATGCAGGGTTAACTCTGGGCTGTTTAACCTGTGACAAACCCAGGACTTTCAGGTTTGCACATCATGAAAGAGGCCAGGAATGGGTTCCTGGGTAGTTGATCAAAGGTGGGAGTGCCAAACATGTGGTTTGTACTATACTCATCCCATAATTCCTGGGTTAAACAACTTAGAAATTGCCCAATATGATGTGTGAGCTGGGTCACTTTAAGTAATGTGAAATTCAGAGTATAACTCAGATTCATAGATACTGACGATGAAACTCAAATACTTCGGCCACCGAATGAGAAGGACTCCCTGGAGAAGACCCTGATGCTGGGAACAATTGATGGCAAGAGAAGAAGGGGACGGCAGAGGATGAGGTGGCTGGATGGGGTCACTGGGGCGGTGGGTGTGAGCTTGGGTAGACTCTGAGGGATGGCGGAGGACAGGAGGCCTGGAGGAATGTTGTCCATCGGCTCGCGATGGGTCGGGCACGACTTTGCGACCAACAACAACAATCCATACATACTCCAGGCAGTGCAGATCAATTGGTTTGCTTTGAAATACAGAACGAACAGATCATTCGAGCATGCCTATCCTATGCTGCTTTTGTAACCTTTCGTACAGAAGTCTGCAACCAAATGCACTGGCCAGGGAGTCCAAATCAACGTGTGGAATTCACCCCACGACATCCTGCCCGCCTCCAAGAAAAGCTCACCATGCTGCAACGGCAGCAGAATCCACAAGGGTCAGAGCTCCCGGATTCCTTCCTGCCCCTTCTCCACAGCCCGACCCGCTCGTTTGGTCCAGGTCCTGCTCATCCGCTCGTCCCACCCAACTTTCGTCCTGTGTCTGCATCACCATTCTCTCCCCAAGCTCCTGTTTTTCAGGTCTCTGTCTGCTTTGTCCGAGATATGGGGCAGTTAAAGACAGTGCGGCGTTCCCCCCATTGACTCTTCCTCTTCTTCCCTCCACCACACTGAATGAAGGCCCTGGGAATTTCTCCTTCTGTCTTTCGATTTCTCCTGCAAGAGTGGCTTCATCTCCTCCATACGGTCATATTCCTGTTCCCTTGCACAAGCTTATCGGGGAGCTCCGTGATATTGTTGCACCACACACACCAGAAGTTCCTGTGATGCTACCTCGGTATCATTTCTGCTGCTTGTAGACTTCCCCACTGGTGTGATTCTGGCCCCCCTCCCCACATTTCCCTAAATAGCAGGAAATCTCTTTGCAGCATTACACATAAAACAATGGCCCCCTCCCTCACAGATGGACCAGTGTTGGGAAATGACTATTTTAAGGATAACATGCAAAACTAAAATCCGCAAGATATGAATATAGAAGCCCCCACGCCAGAGCAGCGTCGTAAGAAAGGATTCAACTCGTGGATTATTATTCTTTTAAGGAAAAAAACCCAGCACCACTTTTTTAATTTAAAAAGGAATGTCTTTCACCCAACGAGTCATGCGCTCCCAGTTGGTGCATTGGATAAAACGGAAGATGCCAAGTAACAGTAGTAAAAGAGAATAGCAAATATGGATTTCTTTGTGAATGCCTTCTGTGCGGTATTCAAAATTCAGCAACTGCTGCTTGGAAAGCATGCAAAATACAAACTAAAAAGAGTTGTAAAAGAGAAAATAGCAGAAAACACCATGACAGAAGCAAGACAAATGAAAGCTGCAGACAAACTGAATGGAAAGTGACCCACGGCCTTATTCCCTTTTCTTTTTTTAAAGCACACTTTTTTTCTTTTACAGTTCACAGGGTGCTAGGAACTATAAACAAGACTGTATAAATAGGAAGGCTTCTATAAATCACTGTGCAACTGTAAATTCTACAGACATCTTACATAACTCAATCCTTGAAAATATTTGCACTGCAAGAGCTTGTTTACACACTAGAAACAGTTTCAGAGGTGGAAAAGTCTCTGCCGCATTATCTGAAGGCAAAATCCGCGCTGGGGTGCTCTAAGGACCCTCCTTCTAGGATTGTCTCGGGACAATGAGAACACAAAACATGGCTTTTGCTGTTTGGTGAACTCTGTGTGTGTACACGCTTTCCCTCCAAAGCAAAGTCCTGAATGAAGCTCTTGGACCACTGAAGGTCCAGGAATGGTCCCTGTATCTCACTCGACGATTCAGTTTTGTCCATAAAGCACTCCATGCTGGAGCACAAGGTGGCTACCCATTTTAGGACATCCAAAACTGGATTGAAGATGCATTATTTGGTACCCAAAGCAGTATCATGCAATTACAGGGATGTAAATTTGTATGCTTCAATCCTAAAGGAAATCAACTCTGTCTGCTCTTTAGAAGGACAGATACTGAAGCTGAAGCTCAAATACTTTGGCCACCTAGTGAGAAGGAAGGACTCCCTGAAGAAGACCCTGATGCTGGGAATGACTGAAGGCAAAAGGAGAAGGGGACAGCAGAGGTTAAGGTGTCCGGATGGGGTCACTGGGGAGGTGGGAGTGGGGTTGGGTGGACTCCGGGAGATGGTGGAAAATAGAACATGGAGGAATGTTGCCCATGGGGTTGCGACTGTACAACAACAGAATTCGTATGGTACCACACTTCCAACAGGATTCTCTAAGCGGCTTACAAGTAATCAAAATGCCTTATACTGAATCAGGCCTGGGCCCATTGAGCTTGACACTGACTGG